ACAACCCTCAGGTTAAAAACAAGAAGCAGCAACTTATTCTAGGACTGGAAATTTAGCATTTTACATTGAATTTTGCTCCATTAGAAGACCACTGTATTGTTCTTAAAAACAGTTTTAGTATTTTATCCATAACTTTGTTTGAATATAAATGAGGCTTCTCCAACCTGATTTTTTTTTAATGTGTTGCAACTGCTGCTTTCTGAATTTTCAGCCAAAGTATCTACCATATTGGGAAAGGATTTGTGCCTTGAAGATTGCAATTTTACATCTGTCCTAATGTATTAAAAATTATCCATATGGTTATGTGTTCTGATCCCCCTCCATCCGGTGTGTAACGCTGGCATAAACTTATTGTTAGCCACACTTTATTCACAGTAATTACTCACAGACAAGACGTTGGCAGCAACCCAGACTCCCACAGATAAGAGATATAATACACACAAGAGCTTCTCCAGCTTGGTATAAACGGTTGTGTCCTGCAAAAGGTCTCCTCCCAAAGTCTCTTCTTATATACTCTTTTGGGAGGAGCCAAACTACAATCACCTGGGCTTGCTTATCTCTTATGAGTCTGTCTCCATAATTGCTGCCTTCGTTTCTCTGCCCTTCTCTGCCTGCGTCAGGGACAAACTCCCTTTGCTCTTCACCACTGCTCCAGTGCCTGACGTCAGGGACAAACTCTCTTTGATCTTCACCACTGCTCCATGCCTCAGCCGCCTCCTGGTGGCCAACCAGCCTCTCTGGTCCCTACTCGGAGTCTGAACCCTGCCCAGGGTCCTCCACATCTTCCAGAGCCGACTTAAGGGTCCCTCGCTATCAGAGTCCATCGGCAGCTCCAACGGCTCCTGCTGGGCCACAACAGTTATGGTAATGGAAAATGAACCCAATGCTCTTCCTCATGGCAATATTGATGTGTATTCCTCGTACCTCTGAATTTGCAGAAAATTATACATTGCACTGGTACTATATCTGAAGTTTATTAAGCTTTAGCCATTAGAACATTGTTTCTCAACCTTGGCAAGTCTAAGATGAGTAGACTTCAACTCCCAGAATTCTAGCTGGGGAATTCTGGGAGTTGAAGTTCATCCATTTTAAACTTGCCAAATTTGAGACACACTGCATTTAATGAGGAAAATTTTCAGGCTAATGGTGGGTGAACCTTGGAGCCTTTTCATCTCCAATCCAATCTCACCTATGGTGGGGGGAAAATAAACATCAACCACTATTAAGGTATGTGGGGTGAAGCAAGGCTGGGGATGGGTTAGAGCTGCCTCTAGAATTATCGTATATGATCCCTACACTGAATATTGTTAGTATATATCTAGATCAGTATGTCTGTTGCATTTATGCACATAGACACATTTGGATCTACTGATCTCAGCATTCTGATGTCATCACCCCAACATGAAGGATATTTCCTAGCTGACAGTCTACTAGTTTTTCCCCCAAAACTCAGTAAATGTCTGAAAATGGAACCTTTTGAATGCAATTTTATTTCTACCCTGGGCATAAATATCACTTTATCTGCTGGAAGACATGATAGATTCATAACCAATGACAATGATGATTATATTCATTCAGCTGCATCTGACTCTTGGTGATTCTATGGCCAGGTCTTGCTACATCTTCCAATCTTGCACTGCTTCTTTGAGTTGTACTATGCTCTGGTTGGTGTCAACATTGATGGTATCCAGCCACAGTGTTCTTTTCTGCTTTGGTTTTCTTTTACTGCTAACTCTTCCCAAAATAATTGTTATCACCAGTGAATTTCCCTACATGACTTGGCCAAAATAAGGGAGACGCAGTTTCATGATTTTAACCTTCTAGTGACATGTCTGGTGATCTTATGCGCTTCAGTGCTTGCTTGTTAGTCACCTTTCCTATCCAGACAGGAGCCTTCTCCAGCATCACAGCTCAAACTAGAACCAATATCCGCATGTAAAATTAAAAGTTTGACAGGCTGCCCTTAGGAAGCCTTTTTGTTTTCCAAAAAACAAAAATGGGGAGGATTTGCTCATTTCCCCCTCCGCCAAAATAAACCCAATACATATATGATCTCTAGAGGTAGAAACTTTGTCTATGGGCTTGAGACAAGAATAAGAAAGTAGGAAGGCCTTAAGGAATGCCCTGTTCAAAGGGTGGGGGTGGGGTGTTACTAATTTGTTCCCAAGGACTGAGGTTACTTCTGGGCTTCCACCTCTAAGGTGGAATATATATGTAATATATACATATTATTTTGTATATATTATTATGTGTATATGTGAGTGTGTGAGTGTGTGTGTGTGTGTGTGTGTGTGTGTGTGTGTG